CTCTTTTTGCGTTCTGTTGTTTCCTTTTTGTCAACGCATCTCTCCTTCCTTTAGACCCTCCCTTCCTCCTTCTCTTCATCCTTTCCTCCCTCCTCCCTCACGTTCTTCTTAGGTAATCTCCCTCCTCCTCATCCTTTTTATTCAAATTCCCATCCTCCTTCCCTTCCTCTTTTCCTCCTCTCTCTCCTTCCACTTTCATCCCACATTCCCTTCCTCCCTCCCCTTCCCATCCTCCCTCACCCATTCCCACTTCCACCCGCACCCTTTCACCCCCAATTCCTACCTTCCTTCCCTCCCTCTCTTTCCCATCCTCCCACCCACCCTCTCAAACCAACTTAATCTGTCTTCCCTTCCTCCCTCCCTTCCCCACCCTCCCATCCACCCTTTCACCCCAACTAACCTCCCTCCCTCCTTCCCTTCCTCCCACCCTTTCAAACCAACTTAACCTGTCCTCCCTTCCTCCCACCGTCCCTCTCTCCCTCCCCCACCCTCCTACTCACCCCCACCTTTCACCCCACCCTCACTTACCCCTCTCTCTCCCTCCCCCCTACTTCTCTCCCTTCCCCACCCTCCTACTCATCCCCCACCCTTTGACCCCAACTAACCTCCCTTCCTCCTCTCCCCACCCTCCTACTTACCCCCCACCCTTTCACCCCCAACTAACCTCCCTCCCTTCCTCCCCTCTCCCCTCCCATCCCTCTCTCCCTTCCCCACCCCCCTACTCACCCCACACCCTTTGAGCCCCAACTAACCTCCCTCCCCCCTCTCTCCTCCCTCCAGTGCTCGTCCTCCTGATCCTGTGTCTGGCGCGTCGGGGCAAGAAGACGATATCCCACCCCGAGTTGGACGGCATCGTCAAGGAAACCATCGGGGGCACTGACCTCGAAGGCTACGGCGAGAAGGACATGACCCAGTATGACCTCAAGCTGCTGCGGGTCGGACCGGACGGCCACCTGTTCAATGGTAAGTTTTGTTGTCGTTTTTGTTGTTTCGTTTAATATCATTATTATTGTTGTTTTATTATTGTTGGTATTGTTATCATTATTTCTATTTTTATTGTTATCATCATTATTTCTGTTTTTATTGTTATCATCATTATCATTATTATTATTGTTTTTTGTTATTATTATTATTATTATTATTATTATTATTATTATTATATTATTATCATTATTATCATCATTATCATTATTATTATCATCTTCGTCATCATTATTGTTATCATTATTATAATTATTATTATTATTATTATTATTATTATTATTATCATTATTATTATTATTATTATTATTATTATTATTATTATTATTATTATTATTATTATTATTATTATTATTATTATTATTATTATTATTATTATTTTTATTACTATATTATTATATATTATTATTATTATTATTATTATTATCATTATTATTATTATTATCACCATTATAATTATCATTATTATTATTGTTATCATTATTGATATTGCTCTCAATGCTAATTTTACTGTTTTTATTTTCATTATTATTTTATTATTATTATTATTATTATTATTATTATTATTATTATTATTATTATTATTATTATTATTGTTATTATTATTATTATTAGTTATTAATAATGCACAATTTTGTCTTTAATCCTGTTCCTCAATTTTTTTTCCTATTTTCATAATATCACACTAACGATAAATATAGCATTTAAGTTGCACTTACTGTTAGAAATTACTAATCATTAGAAATAGTATTATTAGAATGTACTCAGAGTTAAGAAGAATTTAGAAATTGAAAAAGGAAAATAAGTTATAAAAATCCAATAATAGAGATATAGTTATAAGTTATAAGTTAGAAGTATAACTATGAGATGTATGAAACAATAAAAATGCAATCAAAGAATGTACTTATAAAAAGATACTTAAATATACATGTTGCTTTCAGGCACTTTGCTTGTTTCTTAGCTAGTGCTTTTAGTCGGAAAATGTTTAAATTATTCGATAAATTAACCAATGCACTTTTGAATAATAATGTAAATAATAATAAAAACAATAAGTATATTCTCAACATCATAAGATACTGAATTTTGTGTAGAAAAAATAAAATGTAAACAGTGTATAGACATCCCTTGCGTGTACAGATGTACATACGAACAAACACAGAACAAGACCGAGGGCGAGCCACAGTCTCGTCATGCTCTGTTCCATGTTGCACAACATACACGGTCAACATAGCGTTCTGTGTGTGTGTGTGTGTGTTTGTGTGTGTGTGTGTGTGGGTGTGTGTGTGTGTGTGTATGTTTTTGCCTGTGTGCATGTGTGTGTGTGTTCGTGTGTGTGTATGTTATTGTCTGTGTGCATGTGTGTATGTATGTTTTTGTATGTGTTCGTGTGTGTGTATGTATGTTTTTGTGTGTGCATGCGTGTGTGTATGCGATGTATGTATGTGTTTGAGTGTGTACATGTGTGAATGTGTAAACGTCTGTAAATATGTGCTTCTGTGGATATCTACGTGCATATGTGTATCCACACTCCTTTCATATATATCTAAGTGTACGTGTCTGATAGTATCGACCACGGGACAAAAAAACAAAACAATCCTCAGACTTCTGTAAAAAGAAAAAACTCAGACTTCTTTACAGTCCGACCATGTCGTGATTTCACAGCCAAATTGTCTAGTTTTCCGGTTAACATTTTACTTCCCTTCTTCCCAAAATATGAATGAAAATAGCCCCCTCACTTCACCCTCACGCAACCTCACGTAAAAGCCCTTTGCCTCGAGCGTGAAATTCTGTTGCATTGACTCACTTATTCCCCAATCTTTATTATTATTATTATACGTTATTTTTTCTTCTTTATTATCATCTGTTTTTCTCTGTTCTTCTTTATTCTGTTCTCCGTTGTGCGAAGGTTTCGGTCGATGGACACAAGGCCGTGACGGATTAGGAGTGTGGAGGCGTGGAAGAGAGAGAGAGAGAGAAGAGAGAGAGAGAGAGAGAAGAGAGAGAGAGAGAGAGAGAGAGAGAGAGAGAGAGAGAGAGAAGAGAGAGAGAGAGAGAGAGAGAGGAGGGGAGAGAGAGAGAGGGAGGAGAGAAGAGAGGGAGAGAGGGGGAAGGAGAGGGAGGAGAGAAGAGGGAGAGAGAGAGAGGGAGAGAGAGAGAGAGAGAGAGAGAAGGAGAGAGAAGAGAGAGAGAGAGGAGAAGAAGAGGAGAGAAGAGAAGAAGAAGAGAGAGAGAGA